TATTTAATAATAATAAAACAAAAGAAACTTTCAGGAGTGAATTGATAAAACGAGCATATTGATAAGTTTACGCTAATTAGCCACACGTGAAGCCACTCTGAATAAAAATTTGCTCAAAGCAACATCTAACGATGGCAGAGAAGCTGCTTCGACTAAATGTCGACATAATGAGAATAATGTTCATCTGGTTGTAATGTTTCCAGACAAATACTACAATTTGTTTCAGATAATTGACTATTAATTATTTTAGAATTCTGAAGACGATAATATGCAATAAAATGAAGCGATGCCGATAGTACACAATTTCAAATTTGTCCAAACTCAACTTCTTTATTCAATCTTCGTATTCTTTCTTTTTCCTCGATAAACAAGGCTAAGCGATACTGTCTCTGTTATTCTCGAATACGAATAGTTTATTGTCTTTGACGTAATTGTTCTTGTTCATAACTATAATTTTCTTTTGAAATCGAAATGAAATATGGGCTTATTTCGGTAATAGTTTGAATATCAATGATCATGGATGGTACTACTATATAAAATCGATGCAGAATACTTTGACAACGGTCGTTAAAATGGAGTTTGAAAACAATTAAATATTGGTTTTGCACAATAAACAATCGATTACGATAGTTATTCTCGTTTGATGTATTCATCAATAGATAGTCAAGATTTTGAATAGATCTCATATTGTACATGTTCAATGTGTTTTGAACGTCAGTAAAAACTAATAGTTTAAGTTTATAGAATCTATATCGAAGAAAATGGAAAAGCGATGCAAGACCACTTATCAAAATCCATAAGGGCAAGAGACCACCGAATAAAAGACTCATATAAGGTGAATAGGATGACGAACCATCGAATGCTGTAAAAAAAAGTCAGGAAGCTTGTATCGCTAATTCGACGACGGACTGAATATTGTTTCATTTTGACAATCATACACAAATCTACTAGTATATCACATTGACTGATAACTTTCATATTGAAAATTCAGTAGCATTTTGATCATATATTTCTTCAATTAATTTGTACATTCGTTCATTTCATAAGTTTAATGTCATCTGTCTCAGATGAAATATCAAGTTGTCGAAAAATCTATTTTAATGTATCATTATTAAATTGTTCAAAACGATAAGGAAGACGTTTATGAAAATGGGAGGATAAGTATGTTGGTAATTTAACGAATAATTCTTTTGATAAATTAGCAATACTTGATTCTTTAACTGAATTGAATATATATAATAATTAGTCATGCATAGGATAACGAAAGTAAACAAAATGCATATTGTTTGCATCATTATCAATTTCAAGATATTCTTCATCAAATGAAAATAAACCGACTAGAAATGTTCGTTCTATTTCTAGAGCACCACTATAGATTTGCCGATGTACAATAAAGTCTTCAAGATTCAAATGAAACAGACCAACCCATGCGTTATAGATGCGAGTATTACATTTTAAAAAACAAACAATAGGAATAAGTAGACGTAGAAAGATGCATTTATATTTTAAATGATATAATTTTTCTTTTTGTTCACATAGCACATGTAATCGTTGAATTCGTTCCAATAAGGCAATCACAGATGGTTTGTTAGAAATGATACTATCAGATGTATTTTGAGATCGTTGAAGTACTATAAAATTTTTACCTAAAATTAATCAGAAAAAAAAAGATTTGTCTTCTATCTAGAAAATAATCATAATGAATGAGATCGCGATTGGCATGATTTGAACATTTTGTGTATCCGATTACACTTCTTCTGTCACTAATAAAAAAAACAACATCACTGAGAATTTTGGTCGAATAACATCGAATTTTTCAATGTATAGGTTCCAATAATTTTATTATTGATTTCGATATTTTTACAAAAACATAAAATAATTTCTTAAATTTCTGAGTATAGGAAAAAGTGCATGATGACAACTTTCTGTGATGTGAATATTGAAACAGAAAAATACAAAACAACAACAAAAAAAGAAAGAGAAAAAGCAAGTCCATCATAGTGATTCACAATTTGTTTGGACACCTGCTACTGGTAGTTGTGATCGAATGAAACTTGTTCCTCAATTTTACACTGATGAAGAGTTCATCAGAGATCAACCTGTGTCATAAGTTAAAACTCGTCAAATACAGGAAACTCATTAAGGATAGTTCTCCTCTTATCTAACCCCAAAAAAATGAATTTTTTCGATTTCTAGTTTTTGGTCATCAATATAGCGTGTCTACTTGAAATAGTGCTATACAGAGATAAGAGCAAAAGATATCACTTTTAGAGTGAAAAATATCATGAAGTGCCGAACTGTTAAGAATCTGAAAAGCATGAGTAAAGCAATAAGATGAAATGTGCCAATGTTTATGGTTGGTTGTAACTGTCGAAAAGAGTTAGCAGCACTCAGTTGCATGCTTTCATCAGTAACTTCATCTCTCAACTATACTGCAAAAAAAAAGCGGCAGATTAATAAATCTTTATTGCATTATAAACAATTTTTCATAAATTGTTGAAGGGTTTATGAAAACAGGGGTATATATCAATAAAAAGGAATTTGTCACATTTTCATGTTATTGCAGCTAACCTATTTTTTTCTCGATCATAATCGATCAAAAACTATGCAAAATCCGTAGTTTTAGCTAGAGTTTCTCTATGATAAATAAAAACTCAACTTAATCAGTGAAATTTTGATATTTGTGTAATACATATATATTGTCAAAGAGAACTTTAGATGTAAGTTGTAAGTGGACGTATTTCAGCTTGCCCCACATTACAGGGATACCTTTATAAACCTTATCAACCGCTAACAGCAGGCGCCAGACTCTACTTCTCGAGTTTAGTATCGACAGAGCAAGATATTGAATGCCATGAGCGAGGAGATTTCAGTAGCTCTAGAACATTCGAAAGTTTTTCTTGAAAACCGAATGAATAGAATTTGTTTGTCAATGTTTTCAATAGCACAGTTCTTGATCATTAAATTTTATGAGCCACTGTATGAAAGGGTGTAGGTCTACCGTTCATCTTCACTCACACCAAATCAAATGTTTCAATTTAGTTTTTTGCATATTTGAATAGGAATTTTGGTAATGGTTGATATTTTATAATCGAATAGATTTTATAAGTTTTCTTTAAATCCAAAACTTTTGTCTTTTTCCCTTTCATAGATGATAGTCTTTTAAGTCATGTCCATATTTCTATTTGTCTATTAATTCTGTGTCGTAGCTCATTAATTAGAGATCTCGAGTAATGCAATATGATAAAAGTCAGCTCACGTTTTAATGCTCTATCTTGTATACTATTCAATATTGATCCACCTGCTTCCGAATGTTGAAGCAGTGAAAAAATTGACATTTCATCTTTTCTTGATGTGGGTGTGATTGCGACGTCAACATACGCCTATACTCACTCAACATCCACATTCTTTTTAAAGGCGCCTATCTTGATATATACAATTTCATTCAAGAGACCAGATCGATCGGCATAAGCTGTTATCGACGATGACAGTGATATTTCAAAAAGAAAATTTTGCAAATTTTATTTTAAAGCTTGTCTAAAATCCATAAAGTAATCTACAATATGACTACACTACAAGAAAAGTGAAAAACAAGACAAGAGTTCATGCATGAAAAAAAACACATGATATTCATATTTTTTCTCGGTCTTAAATACAATTGTGAATCGGCAAATAGTCGAGCATGCTACACTCAAATTCTCTATGAGATAAATGACAGCACAGACTATATTTAGATAAATTAACTGTGCTTATTTTGTGTATATCTACTGTTATATGAAAAATCCCTGCAAGCCAGAGCAACGAAAAAAAGAAAAAAGGATTTTTCTATCACAACATATAAGTTCGAATTGAGCTTTGTTATTCAAGCTAAGTTATTTAATTAAAGTTGTTGTTGTTGTTCGGGTGCAGATAAATTTTGTCTTGAAAATGATAAAACTCCCATTTGTAATTCATGTTTAGTTGGTTGTTGATGACGTTCTTTTCGTCGTTTTAATACTGGAATAGCAAATAAAATCAAACCGCTTAATAAAATGGAGCCACCAAAGATTAAATATGGCCACAAATATGGTCGATCAAAACTCGAAAAAGCATCACGCATTGTGCCTAAAATTAATCAAATATATTCAAAGAAAGTTTGTTTTCATGTCTTTTCTTCTTACCAACAATTGGTGTTCCTATAGCAACAGCAACACCTTGAAATAATAAAAGAACACCAAAAGCATCTGATAATTTATCGACACCAACTAAATCTACAATAATAATTGATGTTAAACCAACATAGCCACCAGAAAAAAATCCAAATAATCCAGCATAAGTCATATGTGTATGAACCAATGAATTACAAAATGGTGCAAACATTGTTGCTATACCAGCAATTATTAATGTTGTATTATATAATGTTATACGGTTGACCTGAATTTACAAGAAAAATGAAATAGATTAAGAAGAGAAAGTAGTTTTTTTTTTATATTACCCATGATCGATCAGCTAAATAACCGATAATGACACGGCCAAAACAATTGGCTATACCAATAGACATAATAATCCAATGTCTTTGATGTTCAATAACTTTAGCATCAGCAGCTAAATCATTAGCAAAATTATATGGAACATTAAAACCAAGACTTGTTAAAAAATTTGATACAGCAAATAAAGCAAATGCAGCATCTTTCAATAAACTAAGATCAATTTGTTCAGCAATTTTGGCTAGAAATGATTTTTTTACCGCTTTCTCAATTGTTTCATTTGTCATATCACTTGTTTTTATCATTTGCCGATGATATTCATCAGTATCCTCGTTATATAATGGAATATTATGTAAACTACCTTGATAAATCGCATCTTTTCGTAAAACGACTACTGGTAGATTAGTTGACACTGTTCTGGAGACATTTTCAGGAGATCTCGATAGTGTTTTATCTGTTGAATTATTAATGTAGAAATCATTTTTCTTCAAATATGATAGAAATACTTCACCTTCATCATCAGATTCACGTTGTTGTACTATAGGAACATTAGCAGTTGATTCATTTGAAACTATACTTACATCTTGTAATGGAATATCACTGAAACAAAACACAAATCATTTGTGAATTATGAGCAACGAAAGATTATCAGCATATAGTCCATTAATTCAAACTACAAAACTTATCACCTACCACTAACATACAGTATATTACAACTGTATAAAACAAAAAACATACTTCTGAAGAGTAAATCATCATTCTCAATTGGTTTCGTATCTGAAGTATTTATTTTCATCATAGTCCCTCTTATTGAAAAAATAAAAATGAATACCTAGAACTCCTTATATCTCACGGACAAATATTTGTAGAATTAATTATTGTTAAAAAACATTCATCAAATATGATTTAGTTAAATATAGAAAAAAAGATTAGTTTTCATTCAGCTATTTACTCATATAACAAATCTAAATTTCAAACCTTTTTTGATTCGTCGGAAGTAACTGCTTTTGTTGTTCATCACTTTGACTAGTTGCAGTTCCTGTTTTGAATACTTGTTGTTTAGCTTTTCTTTGTGCTTTTCGTTCTACACGTCTTATTTCACTTGGTTCTTGGGGCAATGGAATCTAAAAAAAAAAAAGATTTAAACTTTTAAAGTTGTCTTTTTGTCGAGATAAACATTACCATTAAAGCACCAAATATAACACAAATAAAGATAATTGCTGCCTCAAGTAGAAGAGCACCTTCATAATCAAACCACAATGGTGCATTGATAATATATGGCATAATAGCTGGAAATACCAATGTACCCAAACCTGAACCACAAACCGCAATGCCCATAGCAAAACTACGTTTACTTTCAAAATAGAAACCGACAGAAACAATAGCTGGTAAATAGATTAAACCAAAGCCAATACCTATTGACATATAAATCTATAATAACCAGAACATAAGAATTTCTTTCAAAACATACCTCCAATAATACCAATCGAAAGATAATAAAACCAAAGATTTGCCCAAAAATAACTTGCTAAAAAGCCAACAGCAGCAAGACAAGCCCCAACTATTGTCACTTTTCGACATCCATATGTATTTGTAAATATCGTTGCAATAGGTCCTAAACATTTACTATTAGATAAAAAATTTATCTTCCAAGATAAATTTTTCACCTGTTGCAAGTGTTATTGCCGGTAAAATTCC